GTATATAATATATTAATATTACGAGAACAAATTTATCATAAGAATATAAAACTGCATAATATTAAACATCAAATAAACTTTAATAGTGTTTAATACTTTTATCTTAGCACGGGGGCACACATTAATTATACGAGTGATTAGTGGATCAACTCGAGCCGATTTTGATAAAATATTTTATTATTGGAGATATGTCCACGGCATAGATCTCGTGTCATTTGTCGACAAATAAAAATAAAACACTGTATGTATAAACTATTATTATTAAAAACTATGCGGCCCACAACAACTTCTACCCATATGATGTGGCCCAGACTTCACAAAAGGTTGGACATCCCTGATTTAGTACATATTATACTGACCGAATTAATTATTGATCGGACGAGTTTCTATTACCGTAGTCGTTATTTATATATTTCTTAATAACATATATTTTCTTCGATATATTTCTTTTGGTGTTCATTTTTCAGTCTCATTCTCGTGAACCACCAAAACGTATACGTTAAAATATTAATTAATTTTATAAGATGCTTCCTATATTAAAAATACACTTATAAATGTAATATAATAATAATTTTTTTTCTAGTATATTTCATATTCATAATTTTTTCAACGAGAACTTTGGCTCTAAATAATAAATATACATAAATGTAATATAAGAACTATTAATTTATAATTATATGTTAACGTCCATTCTAGACTATTCGGCGGAGCGCTTATCGGATTCGGGATTACTAATTTGTTAACAAACTGGTGTCTCCGCCGAATGTTCTGGAATCGACGCAATCTTATGTAAAGACTGACCTTAGTGGACAAAATTATATTATTGTTTAGTAAGGCCGGGTTGTGCCCAAGCGGATGGCACTTAGGATACGTGTTTGGTGTAGGTACGAATGTAGAAAAATTAATCGCCGAGTTATATTTTATCACTTTATTCGCTTAAAAGACGGACGACAACTGACACTCCGTCGTATCGACGAAATTAACATTATACAGATAGTCTTTGTATTAATCCAATTACGATGGTCATATGGAAAAACCTTTCAATCGTAATCAGAGTATACTATAATAATGTATATAGCTAATAAGATAAACATATATATATATATATATATATATATATATATATAATTCAATTTTCAATATTGCCACAGTTCGGCCTTCCTGACCACATTGTCGTCTCTATAACATATATATAATTTTACAATTTTTTTTTTTTTTTTTTTATAACAAAAAAATTTATATTTTGCATGAAAACTTAAGGGGAATAATGTATAAATAATTGGAAAGTAGTTAAATTATAAAAGTGTATAATTGTAGGTTCAATTTACTTTAACCCCATAGAAATTATTTTGAGTTATTTAAGTTAATAACTAATAACACTGTTTTAATTGTCAAACACTATTTTATACTTAAAAATATATATTAGAAAATAAAGAAATAAGTACAATATAAATCATTTAATTTTTCTTGCTAATTTTTTTTGCTAATTGTTCTTTTATTTTACTTTTCATAAAAGCATCGAGTTCTGCATCTAGTTCATCTTTATTTGGCATCTTTTCTTCATTATTCTTATCACCTCTGCCACTACTTCCATCTTGTCCACCGGTGTTGCCACGACTATTACCACGATCATCTCTTGCTCTTCGCATATAATTATCGAGTTTTGCATCTAGTTCAACTTTATTTGGCATCTTTTTTTCATTATTCTTACCACCTTTGCCACTATCTCCACCTCGTCCTCTAGTGTTGCCACGACTAGCAGGTCTACTCGGACGTGTAGCAAGATTAGCAACTGTAGATAAGTCTGTGGCTAGTTCAATCTTCATAGGACGTCCATCCAAACGAACGTTGTTATATTGATGAACTGCTTTTAATGCAGCATTCTTACTATCAAAAACAACATCTGCTGTTCCTAATGATCTACCTGAGGTATCGTAGTGAACTGTAGCAGTTTTTAAAGGCCCAAATTCATCAAAAAGTTCCTGCATATCTTTTGATGTGACTCCAAAATCCAAATTTGATATGATTATTTTATGAATATTGGTAGTAGATAAACCACCCCTCATTTGTTGTCTTTTAGGTCCTTCATATATATTGCGAGTCCAAGAATAAGGATTGAATCCATTTGAACGCCTAGCCATTGGTCTGTTTCTACGCATTGGGCCTTCGCCACCGCCGATAACACCATTTGATCGGAAATTTAATCCTCCACCATCGCGTCTGATACCACCACCTCTAGAGCCGCCTTGTCCTTCGTCACCACGATGTCCATCGCGAGACGTTGACTGTTTGCTTTTAATTATTTCGTCCAAGCTTAAATCCATCTTGAGTAGATGTCGGTGTATTATTGATTCACAAACAAAATGCAGGAAGTTTAGATTCGTGTGAAGAAAACTTAGTAAACGGGAACCACGCTATAAACAACAAAAACTTTAACAAAAATAGCCGCAACGCAAACAACCGCTGATCACACGAAATATCACAATGTTTAATGTTACGTTGTTAGTCGGACGATTCCATGGTTGCTAATACTCACTATGGCAACTAGCTTGTGTACTCGCATCGGTATGTATCTCAGTATATCCCCCTGGATTGTACATAGCTAAATAGGTTTATTAGTGAATTTTTTTATATAAATTCTTAATACACTTGATATACTTGTACACTACTCCAGTATATTTTTATTGATAAATTAAATGACATAATGTCATAATGTAATTGTGAATAAATATTAACATATTATTAATAGTGTTCTAAATACGTATAAGTAAAACTGTTAGTCATCAGTGTTTCAAGTGTTTCAATATTTGAGTATTGATATGTATTTAAAAACATTTTTTTTTTCAAATTTAAATGGTAAATAGAGATGAATAAGTTTCATGTTTATTACTTAGGAGTTAAAATTATACTCATACAGATTGTAGGTACCTACTCTATCTTTTACTATTTTGTTTATAGTTATGCCTTCATCAAATATGTCATCAACAGTAATATCTTCCACGTTATTATCCTCACCATATGAAATTATTATTGAACCAACTTCAAATAATACTAACATCAGTACATTACTATAATATTTTTGATATCGTGTGTTATACAAATAAATTGTAATCACAAAATGAAAAAGTAGATATTTAAAACAAAATACGGAAACCTGATTTTAATTATAATTTTCCTTTTAAAGCATAAATTATAAGAAAGTATTAAAGTTTCAATTTAAATGGTTTTTAAATTTCTCTTGATGGTATATGTAATTAAAAAGGGAAAACGAAACATATTACAAATATTGTATTGCAATTAGGTACTTAAAACGATGCAGCCATGCAGGCATTAATAATAAAAAACTGGGAGCATTGATATTAAAATTTTAATATGTTTGGATATTTAAAAGTTATATTTCCAAATATGTTCAGACTTTTTCAAATATTAGCAACTTTTCTGATTTCGTCTATTTCAAATGAAAAATTATTTTGCTTTACTTTTCAGGTTATTAGGTATACTTATATATAAGTTATATCTTTATATTATAAAAGCATTAAACATTATATACTATTAAAATATACAATTATTAGTTATTATTAATATTATTAATTCAAATTTAATAAAGTTTACTTTTTTTTTTTTAATGGGAAAACTTAGTGACTTAGCTATGCTATCCATAAATTGACAATCGTTATAGCCTAAACACCTAAGATAGGTAAAGTTCTTATTGAATTACACCAAACAAAAAACGACATTTAGAATTTTGCTGTTATATAATATTAAATATTCAACATAGCTATTTAATTATTTTTATTTTTTTAATAAAAATATTATTACAAATATGATAATATTTTAACTATAGTCTTTAAATGGAATTATTGTATTGGGTGAAACGAGAAACACTCTGATAGACAGATATATAAATGATACGTATGAAATTTAATTTATCCTCCCTCCTCCCATAAGAAAATCAGTAATTAAATTTTCTTATTGGAGGAGGGAGGGTAAATTAAATTTCATACGTATCATTTATATATCTGTCTATCAGAGTGTTTCTCGTTTCACCCAATACAATAATTCCATTTAAAGACTACCTGTAATCTGCACCGGCTGTACTCGTGTGTGATAATAATATATTTGTTTATAAATATTGTATCAAAACACTCTAAACAAAGCGACACAGATTTTAGTCAATAAAAAACAAGCATAATATCAAACCGTTTTTATCATATGTTTGTATCACCATTTTGTCCATCATCTTATTTTCTTCGTTTGCCTACTTGAGTAATAATAATAATATAAAAATGTTTTCTAGGTATTCAATATGTGATTTAAGATAAATCCGTTGATTAGTATTTGTTGATAATATCAAACGATGGAGCAGTATGATTGGTTCTACACAGGGACTTATTTAAGGTTGCAAGTGTGGTAAATTACGAATGAGCGTAGAGTAATATTTACTTCATCCTATTTTTATAGATTTAATAGATTATTATTCATTTTTATCGACGCGACTGAACGTAGAATATTTTATGCGAAGTCACAACAATGAAACTGAAATTTTTTAATTTTCACTTGTTATTACGCGCAATAAATGTGCCATGTGACGGCTCCTGTAGCTATATGGTTTTGTGACTCGCTACTACACAGCAGAGTCGCGCCCTTTGAAAATGTATGTAACGTGCTTCGCAAAATTTCCAAGGCATTTCTATGATAAAAAAAACCCCGCACGATCCACAAGCCACTAGCCGAACTATTATTTATTTTTATTATTTATTTAATTTGTTGGGAAAACATTTAAAATAAGCATTACGGTGATTTAAAAAGTAACTGTTTTCAAATTATTATAGAAATAGTTCAATTTACATGAAGAGCGTTTGATTAACTACATTAAAAAAATTAAACGTGTTTAAACGAAGTAAGACATTAAGTTAATAACTAATAACACTGTTTTAATTGTCAAACATTATTTTATTCTATATATTAGAAAATAAAGAAATAAGTACAATATAAATAATTTAATTTTTTTTGCTAATTTTTCTTGCTAATTGTTCTTTTATTTTACTTTTCATAAAATCATCGAGTTCTACATCTAGTTCATCTTTATTTGGCATCTTTTCTTCATTATTCCTACCACCTCTGCCACTACCTCTACCTCGTCCTCTAGTGTTGCCACGACTATTACCACGACCATCTCTTGCTCTTTGCATAAAATCTTCGAGTTCTGCATCTAGTTCATCTTTATCTGGCATCTTTTTTCCATTATTCCTACCAAATCTGCCACTACCTCCACCTCGTCTTCTGGTGTTGCCACGACTAGCGGATCTACTCAGACGTGTAGCAAGATTGGCAACTATAGATAAGTCTGTGGCGAGTTCAATCTTTATAGGACGTCCATCCAAAGAAACGTTGTTATATTTACGAACTGCTTTTAATGCAGCATTCTTACTATTAAAAACAACAACTGCTGTTCCTAATGATCCACCCGATCTATCATAGTGAACTGTAGCAGTTTTTAAAGGCCCAAATTCATCAAAAAGTTCCTGTATATCTGTTGATGTGACTCCAAAATCCAAATTTGATATGACTATCTTATGAATTTTAGATCCTTCATACATGTCGTGAGTCCAAGAACCATTAACATCACCCTTAGAATAAGGACTGAATCCATTTGAACGCCTGGCCATTGGTCTGCCTCTACGCATTGGGCCTCCGCCACCGCCGGTAGCACCATTTGATCGGAAATTCGATCCTCCACCACCGCGTCTGATACCATTATCTCTAGAGCCGCCTTGTCTTCCGCCGCCACGACGTCCATCGCGAGACGTTGACCGTTTGCTTTTAATTATTTCGTCCAAGCTTAAATCCATCTTGAGTAGATGTCGGTGTGTTATTGATTCACAAACAAAATGCAGGAAGTTTAGATTCGTGTGAAGAAAACTTAGTAAACGGGAACCACGCTATAAACAAAAAAAACTTTAACAAAAATGGCCGGAACGCAAACAACCGTTGATCACACGAAATATTACAATGTTTAATGTTACGTTGTTAGTCGGACAGTTCCATGGTTGCCAATTACTCACTATGGCGACTAGCTTGTGTACTCGCATCGGTATGTATCTCAGTATATTCTCCTGGATTGTACATAGCTAAAATAGGTTTATTAGTTAATGTTTTTTTTAATATTTCGAAAGATTTATCCTGTTCTTTTCCCCATATGAACGGTATATTTTTAGATAATAAATCCGTAATTGGTCGTGCAATAACGGCAAATCCTTTAATAAATCGATGAAAAAAACTAACTAGACCTATAAACCCTCGTACCGCTCTGACATTTTTCGGTGTAGGATAGTTTTCTACTGCCAAAATTTTCCTTTTTCCGGGTTCTATATCACCACTACTTTTTTCAAATCCCAAGTATTCTAACCTACGCATAAAAAATTTGCATTTTTCTAGCCTAATAGTGAGCCCTGCGTTCTTGAGTGCTTCTAATACAGGTTTTAGTTTTTTAATGCCTTCTTCCACATCCTTACTAGGTATAATTATGTCGTCTAGATATGCTAGGGCTACCGAAAATAAAAGATTACCTAATGCTAAATTAACCATTCGCGAAAAAATTGCCGGGCAGTTTGTCGGTCCGAAGGGCATTCGCTTAAATTGATAGTGCCCGTCCGGGGTAACAAACGAAGTTTTTTCCCGCGTAATAGGATCTTTTATAGGTACTTGATAATAACCACTAAACAAATCTAAAATATTAAAAAAATAGTTACCATATAACCGATCCAGTTGGTCATCAATACGAGGTAATGGATATTTGTCCGGAGACCGGAACAGTCTTCTTGTTGAGCTCTCTGTAATCGACGTACATTCGAATATCGCTGGTCTTCTTTTTCACCAACACGATTGAACTGGCGTATGAAGAGCTGCTATCCTCGACAATATCGGCGTCCTTTAGTTCTTCGATTAGTTCTCGTACTTTTTGTCGTTCGTGAAATGATAACCGGTATGGACGATAAACTACTGGTTGTTCATCCTTCAGGTTAAGTTTCATCTCTGCTAAATTTGTGCACCCTACTTGACGGAGATTTCGGGCGACTTATTCTTTATACTCATTTAACACAGTACATACGTCTTCGACTTGATCAGACGACAAATGACTTTTGATTTCGTCTATACGTATTTATCAATCGCCATAGTCGAGTTTATCGGGTTAAATTCCGGCAAAGCACCCGACATATCGCCTAACTAGCGACGGTGTTGTGTTACTATCTCGGTACCGTCATCAACAACATTTTCACCACCTTCAGCCATTGCCACGCAATACTCCAGCCCTGTTGTGGTTATATATAAAAAATCGACTGGTACACTGTAACTTCACTCCAACGAGCCACACATCACGTATATTCGCGATTTTCCGTCGATCTAAGACGATTATAATATCGATCAGCCCCAGTTATAAATAACCTGGCCCGAAACGGCTAAGTGTTCTATGAAACAACCAACACGAGCGTTTCGTTCGGAAAAAAAAAAATTCGCGTACGGCAACAACACAATGCCACGTTACTGCCTCACCAAAATAAAACGCACTTTTTTTTACGTCGCGTACAACAACAAAACGAAATTAACATTATACAGATAATCTTTGTATTAATCCGATTAAGATCATCACATGGAAAAACTTTTCAATCGTAATCAGAGTATACTATAATAATGTATATAGCTAATAAGATAAACATATATATATATATAATTCAATTTTCAATATTGCCACACTTATAAGTTATAAACAACTGCAATACAAAAATGTTTAAGTAGTTGGTCGACAATTGTTACAAGAGAGCCTTGTCCGATGAATATTAATTTTCTGTTATTGTAAGATATAATTTTTTTATATACTTATTATTTTTCTATAAATAAAAATATTATATACCTACTACCACTGTAAATCAGCCAACATATAATAATTATATTTTGTTAATAAATTTTATTATCATAATTTGTTCGTATTATTTTTAAAATAGTCTTTCGTTTGTAAAATATCTTAATCGTTCGAGTCGGCAGAATACCGCTACTAATAACCTAACCTGACGATTTCGGTCACCACTATCCGCCAATACAGCCAGGTAGGTCTTATTTAAAGTACTTAACAATATTAAAATTTAAATGTAAAGAATGTATTGATACACCGTACTAATGTACTATTAATATCAGTGGCGAACCCAGGATTTTAGTACTGTGGGTCTGCCTCACTTATGAGAGGCCACTGTGTAGAAGGTTCAATTAACTGTACATTACAAAATTTTACGATTAAATAATTTTTAAGATTTACCTTATTTATATTACATATATTAATATAGTAAATACTATAACTAAAAGAGATTAAGCATAAGTCATAACTAATTTTTTAATACAATTTAAAACTGACTTATAAACTTTGATATTATTAATTAATTTAAATTGAATGGGTTTTTCATATCTTTCTAATTTCTATACAATATACATCATATATCATAATATTCATAATATATTATATTTATATTTATACATTTACAATTATATTTTCATAGAAATGTTCTTGAGTCTGTGTACATTTTATAAATTACTTATAACACCATATTATTAGTTTATATTATTTCTATTTTTGATTATCGTAGTATTGTACATATTTATGTAGTTTGTCATTTTGAGAGGCCACATTTTACTGAGAAAAAAAAACGGTGGGTCAGCTGATCTCCCAAACCCCCCCTGGGTCCGCCCCTGATTAATACGTATTTAATGTTACAGACTGTATAATAACTATATTATATTTTTAAACACTTATATTGTTCGGTGTGGTGGCACATGTTCCGATTAGTTAACAAGACAGACTATGGGAGGTCAGACCGGATATTGTGAGCATTGTATTATTTAATTTGATTATTTAGGGTTGATTACACATTGCTCACTTCTTAGAAAAGTCGAAACTCTGAAAACTAAGTGTCGACTAGAATAATAATCTAAATGCGAGAGCTCTCGTATCATCTGAAAATCCACCACCACCGTAATCACTTCTCTTTGTGAACTGACCATTTATAAGGGAGACCTTTTTTTTTCTGTTTCATTGTAAATCACTAAATCACTACATGAGGGCCGAACTGTGTTTTTACTTATACGGGAGACCTGGACAGAGAGAGCTGAACAGTCGATTAGGGATATCCGAGACACTCAGAGGCTGGTCGTATTATACCATTCACGGTCTCGTTTATCAGTATTTTGGAGGCTGTTCGTAATACCGCTCACCCAATACATTTTGCTTAAATTTATTGTATTTTTGTATGAGTTAATTATTAAAATAAAGACTTTAATAAAACGCTTAAACATCTTGTATTTCAATCTCATGTCGATGTATGAATCGGTGTTGAACCGGGACGCAACAGTATAATAACCTGAATTGTCAATGAGATCTGTATTAACAATGGAATATATATATATATATATACAAAGGTGGGAAAGTTAATGAAAATATTTAAATTTAACTCAAGCTTAGTTAAGTTCAAAGAGCACAAGACCGATAAGTTATAGAAGTTAACCATTAGCAAATTATAAATTTAATTCGATAAGTTAACATTTAATATAGAAAAAAATACTAACTTAACTCAGTTTAAATAAAGTTAATTTTTTTTTTGAGTATGTAAATTACATAAAGAATAATTACCTATATCTTTCTAATTTACTAAATTATAAAAAACAATTTTATTTTATTTTTATCATAATTCACACTGTACAGTGTAAATAGTAAATACCCTTCAACGTTACATGATATATTATTTATTAATTTAATTTATACACATCTCAAATTAATAATTTAAAAAATATTATTTTTTATAGAATATAGCAATTAAAGGTCAAAAACATTAAAACAATACAATTTATAATTCATAATTTTATTAAAAAATCAACTTCAAAAAGCTAAGTTATGGCAACTGTCAATTAAACTCCTTAAGTTTTTAAGTTGATTGGAAGATTAACTAACTAGTTAAGTTAAAAAGTTAAAAAAATATTAACTTTTTAACTAGTTAATGTCCACCTTTGTTTATATAATTATAATGTGCACGTTGTTGATTTATACCGGATACTGTTAAAGTATAGCATTTAACATGGCAAATAAGAAAAATATATTTTATAAATAGGTATAAGTTCAGCCGCATTTCTAGAATCAGTCTGTTTTAGACACCTGTCCCCGTGTGCACACATTTCGCGCTCTCTGTGTTTTACTAAATTTTTATAATTTTTCAGTGTTTATATTTTATTTATCATTATTTAGAACTTTACACTTTTTGTTTCCTCAAGGTTTAATTTTTATTCATTACAATCATGTTTAAATGTAAACAGTGTTCTTCCTAACCTAACTAACCTAACCGATGTTCGCACATAAGCCGTGAGGACTATTTGAGAAAGCACGAAAAAAAATATGACGGGAAACGTTTTACGTGAGATATTTGCCTGTTGACGACCAACGTTCAGCTTTAAAATAAAATTAGCCTCAATAAACAATAAAATTGAAAAATATTCATGGTATTTATTTTTTTTGTTTTCCATAATCTTATTTATTTTTCTATTCATTCAATATTAATTTATTAATTCTAATATTTTTCCAAGATATTAACATACACACACATCTCTACTCTTTACCCGCTCCACGATATATTGTAGACTTTTGCTCTGACGACGACGAAATCTGCATGAAAGCTGTAATGATATCAATATATCATTATATAATAATATAGTAATATTGGTAATTAAAAAGTTAAAGAATTATCATATTTAATATTAAATATACTATCATCAAATAAAGCACAATGGAACAATTATTTTCTTACAATTATATTTA